AATGAGTACAAGAAACCACCCATTTATCAATTTCAGGTGTCCAATACAGTGGTCAGAATTTATCAATTTTGCCAATTTCACACAAATTTCAAAAGATGCCAATTTCCGAATAGGGTCCAGAATAAACAAGAAAGACATTCCTGGCACTAAAATAACATTTTCTCTGTTCATTAGTCATGTCCCCATGCCCCTCTTACATTCTTTTGCTTTCCACTTTGAATTTTTATTCTCACAGAAAAATGGAAGATTTACTTTTATGCAGACTACTGCATTGGTGTAGAAATGGTATAAATAATATCAGCGCACTTGTGAAAGAATATTAGACTCACCAGCTGATGTGTATTGGACGCTTGGCATGATTTGTTTACTTTTGAACTTTGGTAAAAATTGAACATTTCTGCTACTTTGAGCTCAATTTCAAGGTAGTTTTCTTTATAAAACCAGTCAAAATCATCTCAGTTTCTGTAATAGGTTTTCCATTCTATAACATGGGACTGGGAAAACTAGAATACAACAATAAATACCATACGAAAATACAGTGCAAAGTCGCTGTTTTAATCCAAAAACACGGTCAAAGTTTTTTTTTCTCATTACGCACTGTGTGCTGCAGGATTTTTTTATACCGCACACACTGACCACATTGACCCATTCTTTCATATGTAGGCCTACCAGCTTTCACTAGATTTGAGTGCGCTAAAATTTAGGCGTACTAGTACGTCAAAAACCCTGGTGCGTAAGACGTACTAGTACGGCCGAAACCCTGAAAGGGTTAATTTTCTCAGAGAAAAGGGCAATGAAGGGTTATTTAATCTCCCTATACCTAATCATGTCTTTCTTGATATTATCCACCTTTGTGTTGACTCTAATTCCTTTTCTTTCCAAGGTAAATATTATTCTCAAACCTTCAGTGTTGCTGTGGGCTCTCCTCTATCTCCTGTTTGTGCTAATCTTTCCATGTAATACTTCGAGACTGTTCTTCTTCCTACTGTTGATGTGTGCTCTTCACTCTGGCTCCGTTATGTAGATGTCATCTTTGCTCTTTGGCCTCATGACTCTAGTCTCTTCCAACCATTTCTTGATGCCCTCAATGATCTTCCCCTTTCATTAAGTTTAAAGGTGAATGGGAATCTAATTCCTTGTTCCTCTCCTTGATGTTCATGTCCACCGCTCAAATACAGGTTTTGCCTTTTCCCGTGTACCGCAAGCCTATGCTCAGTGGCACGTATATTCACTACTTTTTTTATCATGCTTCCTCTGCCAAGAAAAGTGTTCTTATCTCCCTCTTTATCCATGCTCTCCACATTTGTGATCCTCAGTTCCTAGAATCAGAAGCTTCCACTCTTCATAATTCATTTTCCCGTATTGGCTCCCTGTCCCATTTCATAGACTCTGCCTTCTCATGTGCTAAATGTAATTTTTTCCCTCCCAAACTCTCTACTCCTGAGAACTCTCCTGTCCTCTGCCTTCCCTACATTTCCAGTCTTTCTAATCTCAACAACTGTCTCCATTCTTTAGACATCAAATTTACTTTTTGCCAGACTAACACTCTTCGCACTAATCTAGTTCATACCTCTCCTCCCTCTATAGATGCTCCTGGTGTCTACTCTATTTCTTGTTCCTCCTGTCCTCTTCAGTACTTTGGAGAAATTGGCCATTCTCTTTCTGATAGACTCGGAGAGCACAAAAGTAGTGTTAGGCTTGCCAACACCAATAATGCTCTTTTCTGTATTGTCAGAGATCAAAGTCATCCTATTGACTGGTCTTCCACTAAAACTGTCTACCCTGCTTCTAGTTTTCACAGTCACTGTCTGGTTGAATCCTCCCTTATACACAACTTTCCTTGTATGAATCTCAGTTCTGGCTTTGTCTCTGTAGATGCCTTCCTTTCGCATTACATTGCTAAATGCTCCAAATTTCAGAACACCCACGACTTAACCTGATTCTCTTTCCCCCCTTCTCTCTTTTTCCCTTTTTTCCTTTTTTCCTTTTTTCCCCTTTCCTCTTTCTCCTTTGGGTTTTCTTTCTTCTGCCTTGGGTATATGTCCTTTATTTCCCCCCTCTGTGTTTTGCTCGTACCCTCTGTGGGCACCTAGCTCCCTTGCAGTACTCCTCTTTCTTAGTATTTGACTGACTCCACTGCCACTACCTCTCTTCCTCCTTTCCCACTATCTCTTTTGTCCCGTCCTTGTCTGCTGTCGCATTTATACTACCTCCTTCTCTCCTTTTTGTTAGTGTGACTTTGTAAATGGTCCAAGTCGAACTAAAACATTGTTGTAAGCTCCTCTCTTCTATGTATGGGTTATTTGTGTATTGTTCCAGTCACAGCATTTTGATCAGCCGGAGGTGCAGCGGATGCTGAATCAACGCAGTTGTCATTGGAGATACATTCCTTCTAAATCTCAATGGCACGGCGGATTTTATGAAAGAATGATTGGCATTGTAAAACGCTCTTTAAAGAAGACTCTTCATTGTCAGAGAATCGACTTAGAAGAATTCCGTACAGTTGTGACTGAAATAGAAAATAGAGTCAACAACAGACCTTTAACTTATTTTACCGATGATCTGGACAGTTTAGAAGTGTTAAGTCCATCTCATTTACTCCATGGCAGAAGGCTCGAACCTGTTCCTCCCATGACTGATAAAGAAATCATAGAGGATCCTACTTATTTTGAACCTGAGCAACTCAGTCGTAAATTCAAACACCTTAACAAAGTGATTGAACGTTGGGAGAAAATTTGGCAAGAAGACTATCTCACCTCATTGAGAGAACACTTCTGTGGAGCTGGTATTCCTGAAAATCATAAATCCTTAAGACCTGGTGACATAGTGATTATTGACAATGATGGTCCGAGGTCCCAATGGCCTCTTGGAAAAATTGTGACCATATATCCTGATACAAATGGAATCATCAGGACAGTTGATGTTTTGAGCAAAGGTGTAGTGAATAAGCGGAAAATAAATAAACTAGTACCGTTAGAATTAAACAGTGTTGAAACCAAAATTAGTGATTCTCCAAAAACCACACAGACTAAAGCTGTTCAGAAAAGACAAGCAGCAGTGGTGGTGAGTGAGAAAATCAAATTAATGTTAAGTGATGAATAGATCACCTGCAACGAACCTCCGCCGCCCCCCAGTTTGGAGAAATTTTCTCCAGGAGGGGGTTATCAGCCCCCTTCAGCCCCTTTCATCCCTGAAGGGACTAGCCCTCTCAGAAGGGGCAAGCATCTTGTTTACTGCTATATCAATTAATTGATCCCAGATGCAGTATGAGCATGTGACATGGTCACGCGGCCGCTGCTCCTTGCAAAAGTCCGGTGTTGCAAATAGTTTAATTTAAGAAGAGACAGTCCATCTCTTACCTTAGCAGGACAATTAGGGAAAATCCTGCTCCCACTTTATTACCATGGTAAAGATAGTGTACATTATTGTCAATGCTTAAAACAGCAAGAATCAAGCATTTTGCTTTGCTTCATAGTGGAGGTGCTAGGGGACTGCAGCGGTGTATGGCGCTGTGAGGTCAGATTACTTTTCACCCTACTGGGTGTCACACTGACACTAGTATAACCAACAAAGAACACTGATCCATACATTAGTGTGAATAAAGTGTCTCAAAAAATGCAATAAACACTTACAGAGAAGTGTGATCAGCTTCTTTAGTGATAAGATTGTGAACAATAAAGACAAACCTTGTGGAACATAGTGTACCAGTGTGTGTATTCCTAGACTATGGAAGACGTGGACATCCAAGGACACTTCAGCTTCTATCAAGTCACCGATACCTGTCGAAGGTGTTGAGAACACCATAGCTCATGCTACAAGAGCAAGGTAGGTTACGAATTGCCTTGTAATACAGGGGACTGCACAGTTCTTGTGTCACAAGGAGTTTGTAATCAACCTATAGTCGGCAGTGAGGTGCGGACTTTTGAGTCCACAAATGTAAGTGTTGTCAGCAGTCAGTGTCTGATATATGCTGACATAATACCCCCTAGGGATAATTTATTATTAAGACATTTCCATTTCAGCCCGTTGCGAAGTGGTTACGACTTCTCAAGAACTCGCCTGCAGGGGCGGCTTTGCCAGCGATGCACTGTCTTACCAAGCTAAGGTCCCCCTATATTTAATCTTTAACCTTAGCTGGTAAACCATTTCTCAACAACGACTGCATATTGGAATGGACAGTGACGTCATTTGTTTACTCTTGAACATAGCCAAGCAATCGAACATTTCTCCTATGTTGAGCTTAAGGTACTTTTCATTGTGAAAGCAATCAAAATCATATCTATTTCTGTAATATGTCTTCCATTCTATCAAATGAGACCAAAAAAAAAAAATAAACGAGAATACAATCATAAAAACCATACGAAAATACCGCTAAGGGGTGGCTAATTGCTGAGAAGTGAACTACATTATTTATGCTCCGATTTCTTTCATTTTTGGTGTAAGTTAAGAAACATCTTTCCATCATACATTGCCCAAGTTTCAATAATATAGTCCAACAAACAAATGAGATACAATTCCCTAGATCAAGAGCAAGAGCCCCTCACCAGCATCAAGGAACCTGCCTTGAGGTCTGCTCACTTATGGAAATTTTGCTCACGTATGGAAGCAAAAAATCGACCCATCGACTGCTTGTATTTGGAAAAAGTCACACATGGATGCACTCACAAGTAGAGGTTCCACTGTATCAGCAATATAAAATTATATGAAAGATAATATATACATATAATGTACATTGGGCCTCATGGGGTGCAACAATTCATTAATTTGATATCTATTTGTGGACATGGTTTATTTCCAAAAGTTTTAGTGAATGTTTTTCATTTATTAAGAGAGATTTTATTTGTTAACTAGGTGTAGACCATTTTTAGTTTATTATAGTGTTTAGCTGAAGGGGTTGGACTATGATAAGCTAGAGATTGTGTCATCAGTATACAGTGTACATAAGTGAAAATTGGGTTGACAGTGTGTCCAGGTGGTAATAGGGTTGACACTGTCCACAGGTTGAACATCTCCGCAGGATTAGTGAGCCTGTCAAGAAACTGGTTGAGGCTGGACTGGTGTTGGCTATCCAGCAAGACCAAGATGGCCTCCGCTCGTCCAAGATAAGTTTAGAGAATGGAAAGCTATATCTCCACACACTTTTATACCAGCCCCTGTCAGCCCATGCCCGCACCATCCAGGTTACTTAATTATACTGACCACTACACTGAAATTACCACATTTTTAATTAGCTAAAAATCATGTCCCAATAATTATTAGTTATTTGTTAATTTTAATACTCTGATCAAAATGCTTCACTTATACTTAATTATTGTCTCTCTTTTATTCAGCTCAGTGAAGTTATGGATGAGTTGGACTCTTCTTCCACTCTGGCATTTCTGGACCTGGGTTGGGCTGGAGCAACACGAGGACGGATACACATCCGACTACGTCCCAGCACTGGGCTTGCTAGACAGTTTGTTTTAATGTGTACAGGTCAGCAAGGTCCCACCTATGCAAACACTAAACTTGTAAGTGTTGGGTACAAAAGTCGTCCAGGGGAGTATGTCGCTGGTGGAGACTACCAGTATAATGATGGACGGGGAGGAACACCTCTGCTGTTTGATCTTCTGGGTGAATACCGCAGGTCAGGCAGTGCAGGTGCAGTGTGGTCACCACGACAGCTTGGTGATCTAAGTACCCAGTTCTGCATCATCACTAGGGACCGCACAGATGGCCACCAGTGGGGTGATGTCTTCGGTGAAGTAGAGAATGGTCTTGATGTGCTGAAGGCTGCAGTCAAACTTAGAAACATTAATGAAGTGACTGTGGTTGATTGTGGCCTTGTGCTGACTCTATAGTTCACTCTCCTGTCACTCCTACATGGCACCAGTAGTTTTCAAAAAGAAACTAAGCAGCTTCCTGCTACAAATGCTAGATCAGCTAGATTTTCATACTTATATGGGTCTGTGGACTGCTAGCACCAACAGCCTGGTTAATTAGCAAGGCTGTCAACAGGAAAGCCTAATCCCAGGCTGGCTGCAGGGGTAGAAGAGCTCCCAAAACTAGTCACAGGTTAGAGACACCTAGCACAACCATAGGTAACAAGTACAGTGGACCCTGCCTTACGATGGCATCACGTTACATTAAATCCGCCATATGATGCATTTGAACGCAAAAGTTTTGCCTCACCTCACGATGAAAAACTCACCTCACGTCATTCGTCTGGGACGCATCCCACGTGTGGCCTCAATGCATACATTTGGTACATTTCACATTATCCCATTGTTTTTAGTGCTTGTAACTACAAAATAAGTCACCATGGACCCAAAGAAAGCTTCTAGTGCCATCCCTGTGGTAAAAAGGGCGAGAATTAGTATGGAATTGAAAAAAGAGATTAAGGAAATGTGTGCAAAGTGGGTTGAAGTGCAAACCTTTAAGGATGAAAATCGCCCTCACACAGCTATTGCAAGCCGTGCTGGTGACTATTACAATGACAATGTTGTATGGATAGATTTGTTGTACGACAGAGGTCCAGTGACTCTCAAGCTGGTCCTAGTGGCATTAAAAGAAGAAGGGAAGTAGCCCCAGAAAAAGACTTGCTACCTCAAGTCCTAATGGAAGGGGATTCCCCTTCTAAACAGTAACTTCCACATTCTCCCCTCCTCCCATCCCATCAGTCATTATCAGATCTTCATTACAGGTAAGTGTCATGTATTCTATTCGTAGTAGAGTAGTAACTGTGCATGTCTTTATCAGTTTGTGTGTATTAAAATTAATATTTCATGTAAAAAATTTTTTTTCCATACTTTGGGGTGTCTTACATGGATTAATTTGATTTCCATTATTTCTTATGGGGAAAATTAATTCGCCTTACGATAATTTCAGCCAAAATCTGAAGTGGTGCTCCAGTGTTGAAGAAATTTTGAAAAAAAAAAAAAATATTTTTTCTTATAAAATTAAAGATAATGTTTTTGTGAAGGTAATGAAACAAAAAAAAATTCTGATCAGTACTTACCGAGATACAGCGGCGGGAAGTTGACCCAAAATGACCCGGTGGCGGCAACATCAGTGACTTCCGCAAAATCACATTTTTTTATTTTACGTTTTTTATACTTTTTTCTTTTCTTTTCTAATTTTTTTTCTTTTTCTAGTAACATTTGTGGCCTGTGAGACCAGTATAATGCATATTGTATAAGTGTACACTCATTGTATTCAACACAATAACTGCACTAATTTGTTTATCATTATATTGCTTACATAACTTGTTTACAAGTTTATTGTAAACAAAATGATGAAAATATTAGTGTGGTTATTGTGTTGAATACAATGGTACCATATAGTACAATGGTGGCATAGGGTGCACTGGTACTATATGGTACAATGGCATCATATGATACAATGGTACCATATGATACAATGGTACCATATGGTAGAATATGGTACAATGGCACCATTTGGTACAGTGGTATCATATGATACAATGGTAACATATGGTGCAATGGTACCATATGGTGCAATGGTACCATATGGTACATTGTACCATACAGTACAATGATACCATATGGTTCATTGTACCATATGGTACTATATGGTACTCTTGTATTCAACACAATAAACACACTAATATTTTCATCTTTATTTTGTTTACAATAATTGTTTACAACAAAAATATGCAAAAATGTTGTATATTAGTAATGTTCTATTATATATTTACAAATGTACAGTAACTCGACACAAGTTACTTGAGGTGGATGACAGAGCGCTTTGTCTTGGTAACTGCTGAGTCAGTAGCTAGCTTGCATCGCCACTCACTCAGTCTTGGCTGGTTCCTGGAGCCACCAAAACGTCCTGTTGACCATTTGGTACATGATAATATATGTTACAGGGTACCATATGGTACACTGTACTGTATGGTATAAGGTACCATACAGTACAGGATAACATATAGTACAGGATAACATATGGTGCAGGGTACCATATGGTACAGGGTACCATATGGTACAGGGTACCATATGGTGCAGGGTACCATATGGTGCAGGGTACTATATGGTGCAGGGTACAATATGGTACAGTACACCATATGGTACAGATACAGGGATCCCTATGGAAATAAATCACCCTGACTTTTTTGGGTTATCCTAGGATTCTATACATATGCTGCTATGTATGATAATCTATGTAACTGTATTTGTGTACACCTGAATAAACTTACTCAAGGGCACGTGGCATCGTAAGTAAGTTTATTTAGGTATACACAAATAAAGTTGCATATAATATCATCTTCCTGGCCTGCTAGTGTACTCGCATATAATCTAGTGATACCAGTGAATAGCAGAATACAGTGCTGTAGTAGCAACTAACCAGTATTATAATGGTACTTAGTGGAGTGGAGTGACTTTCATTAGTTTCTTTTTCTTGAAATACCAGACGTTACTGTGAATTTCATATAACCTGTAGTTACCAGCGGTCGCAATATACACAACGAGAAGCAATTATTACTACAGAAAAAGCGTCCCTCCTCCAAAATTTCCACCAGTCAACTATAGTGATAATATAGCATTTATTGTGGTGGAGGCCAAAAAGAAAAACTAGAAAAGCTAGATACAGCGATTGATAAACAAGGGTTGAGGCTCGACCGTTCGTCACTGTAGGAGTTGCCAGCAGTCACCGGTTTCTTCAACACGCAAGTTATACTTTTGTATCAATCAAATAACATATTACTCGGGTAAAATTTTCCAGTAGATCCTTCATGTGTTAGCCCAAATCACCGACCAGTATGTTTTAAATAAGTGACCCACTGATCAGATCAGACTGGCTCCGAACCCTCGACTGGACCGAACCCTCGACTGGTCGAACCCTTGGCCGGTTTCAAATGGATTCGTTGGACAATAAAGCAGAGTGTAAACGGACGGGGTTGTAGGCGCCCTTATAAACACGAACAATAAATATTTATTTATTTATTTATTTAGAAATTTTAGCATACATACAGAGGTACAAAAAAAATACAGGTAAGAGCAGCATGCCAAAGCCACTTATATGCATAGCATTACGGGCTGGCTTAAAATTAACTTAAGATTAACTAAGCAATGATGAAATAAGTGATAAGACATTATTGTAAACAGATATCTATAAAGCACAAATGAGTATTACAAAGACAGGTCATATAAGAACATAAAAAAGGAGGAACACTGCAGCAGGCCTGTTGGCCCATACTAGGCAGGTCCTTTACAATTCATCCCACTAACAAGCATTTGACCAACCCAATTTTCAATGCTACCCAAGAAATAAGCTCTGATATGCAAGTCCCACTCAAATCCAACCCCTCCCACTCATGTACTTATCCAACCTAAATTTGAAACTACCCAAAGTCCCAGCCTCAATAACCCAACTAGGTAGACTGTTCCACTCATCAACTACCCTATTTCCAAACCAATACTTTCCTATGTCCTTTCTAAATCTAAACTTATCCAACTTAAATCCATTACTGCGGGTTCTCTCTTGGAGAGATATACTCAAGACCTTGTTAATATCCCCTTTATTAATACCTATCTTCCACTTATACACTTCGATCAGGTCTCCCCTCATTCTTCGTCTAACAAGTGAATGTAACTTAAGAGTCTTCAATCTTTCTTCATAAGGAAGATTTCTAATGCTATGTATTAATTTAGTCATCCTACGCTGAATGTTTTCTAACGAATTTATGTCCATTCTGTAATATGGAGACCAGAATTGAGCTGCATAATCTAGGTGAGGCCTTACTAATGATGTATAAAGCTGCAGTATGACCTCTGGACTTCTGTTGCTTACACTTCTTGATATAAATCCCAGTAATCTATTTGCCTTATTACGTACGTTTAGGCATTGCTGTCTTGGTTTAAGGTTTCAGCTTACCATAACCCCCAAGTCCTTTTTGCAATCTGTATGGCTAAGTTCTACATTATTTAACTTATAAGTGCTAGGGTTATGGACACTCCCGAGCTTCAGAACCTTGCATTTATCTTCATTGAACTGCATCTGCCACTTTTCTGACCAAGAGTAGAGTTTGTCTAAATCCTCCTGAAGTTCCCTAACATCTACGTTTGAATCAATTATCCTACCTATCTTCGTGTCATCGGCAAATTTGCTCATATCACTAGTAATTACTTCATCAAGATCATTGATATATATTATAAACAACAACGGGCCCAAGACTGATCCCTGTGGAACGCCACTTGTTACTGATCCCCACTCAGATTTAACCCCATTTATGGACACTCTTTGCTTCCTGTCTGTGAGCCATGATTCGATCCACGAGAGCACCCTTCCCCCAATGCCATGAGCTGCTACTTTCTTCAACAGTCTTTGGTGCGGAACTCTATCAAATGCCTTACTAAAATCTAAGTAAATAATATCAAATTCTTTATCGTGGTCAACAGCCTCAAAAGCTTTACTGAAGAAAGTTAATAAATTAGTTAGACAAGACCAGCCTCTTGTGAATCCATGCTGAGGATCATTAATCAAGCTATGCTTATCGAGATGGCTTCTTATAATCTCAGCTATAATTGACTCTAGTAATTTGCCTACAATTGAGGTCAGGCTTATTGGGCGGTAATTTGACAGTGACGACTTGTCCCCTGTTTTAAAAATAGGAATTACATTAGCCATCTTCCACATATCAGACACTACACCTGTTTGAAGAGATAAATTAAAAATATTAGTTAATGGTTCACAGATTTCCCATTTTGCATTCCTTTAGAACCCTTGAAAAAACCTCATCAGGACCTGGTGACTTATTTTGCTTCAGTCGGTCTATCTGCTTCACAACCATTTCACTAGTGACTGTGATGTTACATAATTTATCTTCTTCTGATCCACTATAAAAATTAATTACCGGAATATTATTAGTGTCTTCCTGTGTAAAAACCGAGAGAAAATAATTATTTAAAATCGAGCACGTTTCATTCTCTTTGTCAGTAAGATGCCCATAGTTATTTTTAAGGGGACCTATCTTATCTCTGACTTTTGTTCTATAGACCTGGAAAAAACGTTTTGGGTTAGTTTTAGAATCCCTAGCAACTTTAATTTCATAGTCCCTTTTAGCTTTTCTTAATGTCCCTCTTAATGTCAATATACTGATTCATAAGATGACCCTCGCCTCTTTTGATACGCCTATAAATTCCTTTCTTATGCCCTAGTAGATATTTCAGCCTATTATTCATCCATTTTGGGTCATTTCTATTTGATCTAATTTCCTTGTAAGGGATAAACATTCTTTGAGCAGCATGTATTGTGCTCAGAAAACTGTCATATTGATAGCTCTCTTCGTTACCCCAGTCAACAGATGATAAGTGTTCTCTAAGCCCATCGTAATCTGCTAAGCGAAAATCTGGGACTGTTACTGAGTTATCCCTACTATCATACTTCCATTCAATTCTAAATGTAATTGATTTGTGGTCGCTAGCACCCAGTTCCTCAGAAACTTCTAAATTATTAACAAGGGATTCATTGTTTGCCAGAACTAAGTCAAGCAGGTTATTACCCTTGTAGGTTCTGTCACAAAAATGCTTCAAAAAACAATCCTGAACTACTTCTAAGAAGTCGTATGATTCTAAATTCCCAGTTAAGAAATTCCAATCAATATGACTAAGTTAAAGTCTCCTAGAATTACTACATTATCATGCCTTGTGGCCCTAACAATTTCCTCCCATAGTAGTCTCCCCTGGTCCCTATCTAAATTTGGGGGACGGTATATCACACCTAAAATTAATTTTTCATGCCCCTCTGAAAATTCTATCCAAACAGACTCTGTATGTGTTACTTCAGACTTAATACCTGTTTTTATGCAACAGTTCAAACGATCTCGGACATACAATGCTACGCCACCCCCCTTCCCGATACTTCTATCTACTTGGAACAATTTAAAACCCTGAATGTGACATTCTGCAGGCATGTCCCGACTTTTTGAATTAAACCATGTCTCAGTAATGGCAAATATATATATGTTACCTGCACTAGCAACTAGTCTCAACTCGTCCATCTTATTCCTAGCACTGAGACTATTTGTGTATTTATTTTTTTTTTTTTTATTATCACACCGGCCGATTCCCACCAAGGCAGGGTGGCCTGAAAAAGAAAAACTTTCACCATCATTCACTCCATCACTGTCTTGCCAGAAGGGTGCTTTACACTACAGTTTTTAAACTGCAACATTAACACCCCTCCTTCAGAGTGCAGGCACTGTACTTCCCATCTCCAGGACTCAAGTCCGGCCTGCCGGTTTCCCTGAATCCCTTCATAAATGTTACTTTGCTCACACTCCAACAGCACGTCAAGTATTAAAAACCATTTGTCTCCATTCACTCCTATCAAACACGCTCACGCATGCCTGCTGGAAGTCCAAGCCCCTCGCACACAAAACCTCCTTTACCCCCTCCCTCCAACCCTTCCTAGGCCGACCCCTACCCCGCCTTCCTTCCACTACAGACTGATACACTCTTGAAGTCATTCTGTTTCGCTCCATTCTATTTGTGTAATAAATATTTAAAGACCCTCCTCTCTCTTTACCCTTCCTGCTCCTTTCTGTTATTCCACTAAACCTATTACTGTCCTTGTCAATTAGTGCCACTGACTTTCCAATATCCACCTCATTTTGCCTATTACTGGTTCTCCTAGTACTCATATTACTACCCTGCGACTTCACAGTTTTCCCGCCAAAACCCATACCACTAACTATTCCTAGTTTAAAGACCTAACAGCTCCCTCCACTGCGTTGGCCAGTGCCCCCACCCCACACCTAGATAAGTGAACCCCATCCCTGGCATACATGTCATTTCTGCAATAGAAGAGGTCCCAGTTGTCAATGAATGTTACCGCATTTTCCTTACAGTATTTGTCCAGCCAGCAATTGACACCAATTGCTCTGGACAACCATTCATTTCCAACTCCTCTCCTTGGCAAAATGCCACATATGACAGGTTTCCCACCCTTCCTCCTAATTATCTCTATTGCTGACCTATACCTGCTAATCAGGTCCTCACTCCTACGTCTGCCAACATCGTTGCCTCCAGCACTGAGACAGATAATAGGATTGCTCCCATTACCTCTCATGATGTCATCCAGATGGCTAACAATATCCTCCATCCCAGCCCCAGGAAAGCAAACTCTCTGTCTCCTACTCCTGTCTTTCAAGCAGAACGCCCTATCCATATACCTAACTTGGCTATCCCCAACAACAACAATATTCATACCTTCCTTGGTGTCGTTTGTAAGAGTAAGGTTATGAGGATAACAAAAAGATTAGGTGATGAAAGATTGAATATCAGATTGGAGGGAGAGAGTATGGAGGAGGTGAATGTATTCAGATATTTGGGAGTGGACGTGTCAGCGGATGGGTCTATGAAAGATGAGGTGAATCATAGAATTGATGAGGGGAAAAGAGTAAGTGGTGCACTTAGGAGTCTGTGGAGACAAAGAACTTTGTCCTTGGAGGCAAAGAGGGGAATGTATGAGAGTATAGTTTTACCAACGCTCTTAAATGGGTGTGAAGCATGGGTGATGAATGTTGCAGCGAGGAGAAGGCTGGAGGCAGTGGAGATGTCATGTCTGAGGGCAATGTGTGGTGTGAATATAATGCAGAGAATTCGTAGTTTGGAAGTTAGGAGGAGGTGAGGATATATTACCAAAAACAACTGGTGGGAGCTCCATTGTTGGTGCTAGGGAAGATAGGAATAAGACAGGTAAATATGCACCAACAGGGAATACAGTCACAGAAACCCAAGGCAAACGGAAACCAAGACTGTGCACATACTATGCACTTGGTATCTGCAGACATGGGAAATCTGGAAAAACAGATGGGACGTGCAACTATGACCACCCTAGAAAATGCCGTGCCCATATGACAACAGGAAAATGCAAACTCCCTTCCTGTAAGCTTTTTCACCCTGAAATGTGTACCTCTTCAGTACAGGAAAGACTGTGCTATAACTTAAATTGCCAGGCACACCATGTAAAGGGGACAAAAAGATACAAAACATCCAGGCCATGGGAAAACCTGGGTAGCCACAGCCACTCAAGAGGGAGAGGTTTTTTAGTGCCAAGAAGGAAAAAAAACTGGCAGAAATTGCACACCAAATCCAGTCATTCCTGGAGTGGAACCACAGTCAATGGCCTCCACTCCAAACCAAGAGATACAGATACTAATGCCGGAAAAAAAATCACCCCCCCCAGTACATACCAACAATACCACCAGTCCAATGACATTCTTCTTTGCAAATATACAGGGTCTAAAGCCAGCAACAAACAACAAAATACCTTTCATCCGTGGACTGCTTGCAGAGGCAAAGGCAATGTTCGCGGCTTTCACTGAGACCCACATAAAGGATCACTTACACAACGAAATATGGATCCCAGGTTACAACCTATACAGATGTGACAGAGTGAACAGGCAAAAGGGGGGGGTTGGCCTGTACATTGCAGAGTCACTTGTTTGCACAGAACTGCTCAATGCCTCAAATGATGTAGTGGAAGTTTTAGCAGTAAAGGTCGAGAACCAAAACCTAGTCATTGTGGTAGTCTACAAGCCTCCGGATGCAACATCCCAGCAATTCCAGGAACAGCTGTTGAAAAAATTTACCACTGTCTGGAAAATCTTCCAGCTCCTGCACCCAACATCTTGCTCCTGGGGATTTCAACTTAAGGCACCTAAAATGGAGGAATATAGCAAATAATATTGTTGCAGTAATAACACCAGGAGGCAGCTCTGATGAAAACTCACACTCACCTGAGCTTTTAAATCTCTGCACAAAATTCAATTTAAACCAGCAAATAATAGAGCCTACTAGAATGGAGAATACACTAGACCTCATCTTCACTAACAATGATGATCTGATAAGAAATGTCACCATATCAAAAACAATATACTCAGATCACAACATAATTGAGGTTCAGACATGTATGCGCAGAGCCCCAGACCAACAACATGAGATCAGTCACGAGGGAGCATTCACCAAATTCAACTTCAATAACAAAAACATAAAGTGGGACCAAGTAAACCAAGTCCTAACCGATATAAGCTGGGAAGATATACTAAGCAACACAGACCCCAACTTATGCCTAGAACAGATTAACTTGGTGGCACTCGATGTATGCACAAGACTTATTCCTCTAAGAAAAAGGAGGAGTAGATGTAAAACAGAAAGAGACAGGCGCTCCCTTTACAGGCGACGGAAAAGAATAACAGCGGCTAAAAGAGGTCAATCTATCTGAAATGTGTAGGGAGACACTGGTCAGAGAAATAGCAAACATCGAACTTAAGCTAAAGGAATCTTATAGGAGTCAGGAATCGCGGGAAGAACTAAAAGCCATAAATGAAATCGAAAGAAACCCAAAGTATTTCTTCTCCTATGCCAAATCAAAGTCGAGAACAACGTCCAGTATTGGGCCCTTACTTAAGCAAGATGGGTCCTACACAGATGACAGCAAGGAAATGAGTGAGCTACTCAAGTCCCAATATGACTCAGTTTTTAGCACGCCACTAACCAGACTGAGAGTCGAAAATCAAAATTAATTTTTTATGAGAGAGCCACAGAATTTGGTTAACACAAGCCTATCTGAAGTTATCCTGATGCCAAATGACTTCGAACAGGCGGTAAATGACATGCCCATGCACTCTGCCCCAGGGCCAGACTCATGGAACCCCGTGTTCATCAAGAACTGCAAGAAGCCCTATCACGGCCTTTACCATCCTTGGAGAGGGAGCATGGAACGGGGTCGCCCCAAAGTTACTAAAAAAAACAGAATAGCCCCCCCCACAAAGGGGGCGTAAAGCAACAGCAAAGAACTACAGACCGATAGCACTAACTCCCTGTCAAAAAAAATCTTTAAAAAGAGTCCTAAAAAGCAGAACCCCCCCATCTAGAAACCCATCATTTACACAACCCAGGGCAACAGGGGTTTTAGAAAACAGGCGTCCTGTCTGTCTCAACTTTGGATCACTAGAAAAGGGGTCCTAGATGCACTAGAAACAAAAAGAATGCAGAGTAATATATACAGACTTTGCAAAAGCCTTCGAAAAGTTTTACCATGGGTAATAGCGCACAAAATGCGTGCTAAAGGAAACAAAAAAAAGTCGGTCGAGGTCTATAATTTTCACTAAAGAATACAGGAAAGTAGTCAACAGAGTAAAGCCGAGGCAGGCCGGTGAAAAAGCTTGTTCCAAAAGGCACATACTCGCCCCCTCTTTTTCCCTCATCCTCTATCTGAAAAGACAAGGATGTCAGCCACAGCACCGTGTTTTCCTTGCAGTAAACCCCCGAATCTGCATGACAGTGTCTTCATTGCGACACGCAAGGCTCCAGGCGGACATCAACCAAATCTTTCGTGGGCTCAAAAAAAACAATTAAAGTTAAACGAGGGAAAAAAATTTCAATTCTCAGACATGGTAAACGAGGAAATTAAAATCTTCTCAGATTTCAAAAAAAATTCGGGCCAAAAAATAGAGAAAAAACCCAACGTCAAAGACCGGGGGTGATCATGTCGGGGATTC